TAATGTGTACGAAAATGTAAAGAAATGGATATCGAGAATTTCGTCGTAGTGGCACTTTAAAGTTTATATTTTTTTGGAGTTGTTGGTTGCTTTTTTTCACTTTTCGTATCCTAAGATTTCTACCCAATAAAGAGCTGAGATTAATGGCAGAAGCTTAAGTTTTCAATTGGTGTCAATTGTATTTTTTTTTACATTATCAGGAGTGCTGCCATGTTGTTTGGATGTATTGAAAGTTCTTACGCTGATGTAAGTAAACTGTTGTTGAAATAATTATAGTTGCAGTAATGGCACATTTAATTTGTAAATTTGTCAAGAGTATGACTTTTGTGTGAAACACATTGGTACATTTCTCTGATTGTTGTTACAATTATATGTGCCTTTAAGGAGCACCAATGTCGGGTGCTATTTGATGCGACTATACAGCACGAAAACGACCCACATCATGTGCGAAATCCAGCTTTAAAATGTTTTCAAACCAGATTGATCCTCACCGTATGCTTTTCTCTTTATTACTTATGTGCTCACACTTGACATGCATACACAGTGTTGACTAGAATGACATAACTGTGAATGAATGAGCCTTTCTAAACTTTTAGTAACATTCCAGTTTTGATAGTATAGTATCATATGAACATGCCAAGCATCATTTTTATTTGAATTGCGAGAGAAAGATTTACAGACGTGAGAGATCATCGCAGTAATGTATGCAACTTGGGTAGCTGGAAATAAAGCCTGAGGGTTTTTTTTCGGCGTTATGGTCGCAGCTGCCTAAAGTGGGTAGATAACTGCAATGATCTCTCATGCCTCAATTGTGTAGCGTGTTCTTATTAGAGAACTGTTTGGCTTACAGATTCGCGATACAGCATTCTACCTACTCCAAGAACACTTTTCATGGCCTCTGATATTGCTAGAGAACGATTCCACAGGCAAAGCATCTGCCAGTATATTGCTACAAAAGGCCTTGACTCTAGTGAGAAGCCCAAAAGTACAAGACTGTGAGAGTGCAGCTGTTATATTTCGACTTATTCAAAGAAAGTATGTTCCACTGAGAAAAATATCATTATATCTTTACGGTAGACTCAAATGTAAAGGTCATAATGACCCTAACTCAAGTTCGTAATCACTTGAAACTGAGACACGCGCTTAAGTTGCTGACATCAAATCCTTTCATAATCGTTTATCTCTGTTGAAAAATGTTGTACATGAAGGCATTAAGTAATTTCAAATCTAGCTGATGTAAGCTGTGTTCTTGATTATTTTTAAAGATATGTGTCAGAATTAGAATGGGACTGTAACTTCTTGACTGTGGAAGTGAAACCCTCCGCAATCCTTGCCAGTAAATCAAGTAGCAGTGGGAAGCTGTTTAGTGTTGTTCAAATGCTGCAGCAACTCTTGGCTGAACTCAAAATGCATGTGAAGGCTGCACAGGACGACATGAAGTTTGCATCACGAAATGCACCAGGCCATGGTAGGGGTCCTGTGGTAACAGGTTATATGACGTCATTGTTAAATGATGATAACGTTTTCATTATTTGTTTATTGTGGGTAGTTTTAATGTTGTGTTGGTTATTATAATGAGCTTCCTACACGCGTCAACGTCTACCCATTGTAAAGGTAGCCTTGAAACACAGTTCTGTTTTCTTCTTATTTTCAATCCAGCTTTGCGTCTGTTATTTATTTCAATGTTGTTGTACAGGCATTTCATTGGCCATGGCACAAAGTGTTGAGGAAACATTCGATGATATCAAGGACGCTGAGCTGTGTAAACTGCGTGGTGTAGAGTGTTGGCGTCAGCTGCAGACTGTACTGTATGACACTGTGGACACTGCTGTTCACATCATTACTGACATGATGGACACGCTGTCTGGAAACTACGGCAGCACTCATGCAAGTATGACAGCCTTGCTATTTTCAGTTTAGATTTTTTAAAATTTGATTTTTAGGAATTAAATGCTGAAGTATACATGTACCTTGCGTACATTCTGCCAATGCAATTAATTAATAGCAATGACGAGATATTGATGAGCTCTTGAAGGGGTTGACATGCACCCCTCTTATACTCTCAAAATGTAAAGTGTAACATGTTGATAGCAAAAACGATGGTAAATGTGGAAGGAGTGAGGAAACTGAACCCGCTGATCAAGCTCGCATCATTAAATACCATCTGTTGATACATTGCACAGTTTTGTTATCGAAAAACTCCAATAATATGTCCTTTGTTTATTTTTGTGCAAAAGGCTTTTCTGTTGGGATGATTTTCCTAGGTGCTTATCATTAGAAGGAATTTTTGGTTTCAAAAATAGCCGGCTTATTTTTGGAAAAATTGGTAAAACACTCAAACTCGATGAATATAAACAATTTTGGCATAAAGTAACTTAATTTTCGTTGCACTTCACCTCTGCTTTATTGTAGTACATTTTAGACAAATTTCTGGTGTGATCATTTGAATTAGTAACATAAGTGCTTTACAAAGTTTCTTTAGCTGACATTTCGAGCGTAAGCTCTTCACTATGGCAAGGATGAAGGACTAACACTCCAATGTGCACTGACGCTCAAAATGTCAGTTTCACAGACTCGCTACTGCTTTTAATTTACCTTTATCAACTTCAAGGTGATAAATAGCAAAGTGTTTGAGTTGCTCAGCGATGAAGCCCGACGGTTTCTTTACAAAGTAATAGCTTAGTTTGTTTTTTTTTTTAATATATATATTTTTTCCTGTAGTTGGTGGGGCGTCATTTGCTGATATAGGTCAAGCCTTGGATGAAATATTATCGTTCTCAATGGATGTGAGTGATGAGGAAACCAAAGAACCCTTTTCTGTCCAGTCGCACAAAGACATTGTTATTTCATGTTGCTGGCTTCGTATCAAGGTAAGGTCTTGTTTGATAACTGCACACTGTATTTGTAGCTGGTGTTTATAAAACAATGATTTGTGATATGAGTTGAATATGACTAAACCGCTTCCACATACTTTTACACTAACACTCAAAATCTGAGCCAATTTTGAACATGTCTTACATTCACGCCATTTCATATCACTGTTTTCTGCAGTGTGCATGTCAGCTTCTGGCGGTTATCTTTGAAAAGAACACAGTTAAACTTGAGCATATGTCTATGGCTACATTACTTGATGATGAATCTCTCAAGCTTGTCGCAGAAACAGCATGCAAAGTTATACTACAGTGCAGGCACCAGGTACTGCTTTATTCAATCTTGTTTATTCTAATTATTTGTCATTTATTCTAGTTTAAATACAAAGTCTGCTACGGAGGAATTGTAGCATTTGCAGGTGTATTTTTAGACTGTTCACAGCCTTCAATTTTCTCACATTTTATTCGATCGTTGAACGCGCGGAAAGAATCGCGAAAAACTGGACGCCAGCGCAAAACGAGAGACTTGACACGTTAGGCGGTGGGGACCGAGAAAAATAGAAGGGCTTCTGTCTTCTTCGTTTAGCTGGCTTCGCTCGTCAAACCGCCCCCACCCCCGCCAGCTTTGGGCTCGTTTCGCTCGCTTTTTCTTTCGCATGCGTTGAAAAATAGAGAAGCTCCGAA